ATATTTACACATATATTTATGTGGAGTTATGGCAGCATGGTCCAGAATGAGTTGTCCTACTAATCCAGAGATTATGATTTGAATCAAAACTAGTTCCACAGGAGAAAGATGAGCAATCTCTTTAGGAGGAATTGGAAAACCCATTGGAGATTGGAGGCTCAACTACAAGTCAATTCCAGCTTGTCAATAAGGAATTGAGTGAGTTTATGTGGATAAAGAGTTATATATATACAACTGCTGTTATGTGCTGTCGAGTTCCCTGTGACTCATAGCAACCCTATGTACAACAGCCCTAAACTTTGCTATATCCTGTGCCAGTTTTACTGTCTCTGATAACACTAATCCACATTACTCCAGTCACTGAATCAGTCCATCTTATCGAGGGTTTCCCTCTCTTGCACTGTCCCTCCACCCTCCCAAGCATGAAATCCCCTCTAGAAATTGATCCCGCCTGCAACATGTCCAAAGTATCTTAAACAAAGCTTCAGAATCCTGGATTCCAAGGAGCAGCCTGGTCTCATCCTCTCTAGGACAAACCTAGCTGTTCTAGAACCTCGTTCTATTCTATATTCTTTTGAATAATACCACAGCTCAAAGGCATCAATTCTCCTCTCATCCCTAGTCATTGCCCATCTTTCTTATGCATAGCAAGTAATTGCAAAGAGTATGGTCTGGATTATATATATACACATATGGTGTTTGTTGTTGTGTACCATCAAGTCAGAACTGATCTACACCTGACCTGTTAACAGGTTTTCAGAGGCAATAAATTGCACAGGAGGAGATTGTTCATATTCTTTTCAAGGAGCAGCTGGTGGTTCGAATCACATGCCTTTTGGTTGGCAGCACAACTTCTTAATACTAGGCCACCTGAGCTCCTTGAGTAACACACATACACACACACACACACACACACACACACACACACACACACACATTCTCTCTCTCTCCTGTCTCCCTTTAGATAGATAGAGAAATACCATGCATGTGTTTTTGTGCATGGTGTGACATAAATATAAAAAAAATTAGGTTAAAGAAATGGTAAAAAAAACCCCACTGAATAAAAGAAAAATGCAAGCCAATTTTTGTTAATTACAAGGAAGATTTTTCATCTTTTTCTCATGGGGCCGTTGGTGCATTTGAAGCACTTGCCTTTGGGATGGCAGTGCAACTTATTATCTATTAGGTCAATACATATACCAAATTCACTGCTTTCCAATCAATTATAACTCATAATGAATGTACATTGGATTTCCAAGGAGTACCTTATAGACTTGAACAATCAAACTGTCCATCTTTCCTGTGAAGTCCATCAGGTGAAATTTATGTGCAAAGTTCCCATTTGTGATTTTTGTTGTGTTTTTTTTTAAAAAAAATATATTTGCAACACACACACACACAAATACACTCAATAAACAATAAGAAGAATAAGTTATTAGATAATTAGATTTAGTCACAGTTATGGATAAGGTTACATCAAATTATTTTACTTTTACTCATGAACCCTGTTGAGAATTTAACAAAATTCGGAATTCTGGGTGAGTTTTAGCTGAGCATATAATGCAGAGGTTGACACTGACTGAGGGTAGGATATAGCCACTGGTCTCCCTGTTGTCAGACCAATACATTATGTACCACACCACTAGGGCTTCTTAGAATAAAATTATCCAAGCCAAACCATTGGCATAGAGTTGATTCCAACTCATAGTAACCCTCCATCAAGTTTCTGATTATATAAATCTTTATAGGAGAAGATTATCTAAATCTCTACCAATGAGCCTCAGGTGGATGCATTACATATGATGCCACCAAGTCTGTAGTTGTTGTTATCTTATACTATAGAAGGTTTAAAGAGGTTGTAAAGCACATAGAAGGAACTTACCCATCTTTCTCCAGTGGAACAGCTGATTGGTTCAAGCAGCCTACCTTTGTTTGGAAGCACAAATCTTTATCCACTATGCCACAAGAATGCTGCAAAGTCTAGGGACTATAAATTAATTAAGAAGAAAATATTACTGTCTTAACAACCAAATTTCTGAAAGAACTCTCAACATCTTTGAACATGAATGGCGCACGCCTATTATATTGCATTTGCAAATGATTTTTGGTTTGTTTTGTTTTTGTTGTCATTTTCTAGGTGATGTGTTGACATTCTTAGATTCTCACGTGGAATGCAATGTTGGTTGGTTGGAACCTCTCCTGGAAAGAGTTTACTTAAGCAGAAAGAAAGTAGCCTGTCCAGTTATTGAAGTCATCAATGATAAGGACATGAGGTAATGTTGGGGTATGAGGTAATGATATGGATATGAGGAAATGAAAAGGACATTTATAAGATACTTGTAGGTGAGCATATTCCCATTCCTAGAAAATTGTAGTGACCCTAAACTTTTTTTATTAAAATCAGTAGTATGAGTGACCCTAATCTTAATGACTACTATTATCATGAATGTATTCAAGTAAAATTAAATAATTTAAAATGTCAGCCTTTTCTCTATCATGATGTTTCCTGTCAGTCCAATGTTGAGAATTTGTGTTTTCTCTTTATTCCTTCTTTTTATTCTAGTTGAGTCATACTCTACTAGATAGCACTGAACAGGGACAATGTCATTATTTACAATGTCCCATCAAAATCTTATGATCCTTTTACTTTCTCATTCCCATACCCATACCTTCACTGGTCTCTGCTCCATTCACCCTCCCATCCCATCACTTCCTGCAAGTCCTTCCCAGTTGTTTCTATTTGTGGGTAAACTTTCCCTTATTCCTTTTTTTCTTCTCCATCCCCTCTCTTTCTCTCCTTCCGTCTCCGCATTTGATCAGTTTGGCTTGGTCTGTTCCAGATTGTTAACTGAATACACATATTTTCTGTTCATCCATTTGTTGCAGGTTTGTCTTCTTCTCCTGCTAATTCATCACAGTGTACCATGTCTCTTGATTCTATTCCTGCTTCTCCTGTTTCTCTCCCCCAAATAATCCTATTTTTATAATACAGTTTTTGTACCACTTTATCCCTTTGTGAATGAATTACTTCATGCTTCATAATATCCTAGACTCTTCCATGTTGGGTTGTATTTAAAGAGTTCTACATTTTTTTAATGTAGGATAATATTTCCTTGTGTGAATATACTACAATTTTTCTATCCATTGTTTGCTGATGGGCACTTCAGCTGCTTCTATCTCGTTGCTATTGTGAATAACACTGCAGTAAACTTAGGTCCACATAAATCTATTTATGTCTGAGCCCTGATTTTTCTTAGGGTATATATTTCTAGGAGTGGAATGATTAGATCAAATTGGATTTCTATTTTCAACTTTTTGAGGAAATGTCAGATCGCCTCCCATCATAATTGTACTATTTTACTTTCTTACCAGCAATGCATGAGAGTGGCAAACTCTCCACATCCTCACCAACATTTGTTGTTTGCTGTCCTGTTAAACTTTACTATTGTTGCTAGGATGAGATAAAAGCTCATTGTTATTTCTATTTGTATCTCTTACCAATAGCTAGTGTGATATCATTCTATAGTTCTCACATTCTCTTGGGTCACATTTTCTCTTATCAAATCTTGGTGTTGATATGCAACCCATATTGAAGGCTAGGTAGTCTTTGATCCTCTGTAGTAAGTGCTTCAAGACTTCTTCACCTTCTGCAAACAAGATGCCATTAGTATGCACAAGTTGTTGATGAATTTTCTTCCAATTGTAATTCTATGTTCTTCCTTCTAAAGTCCATCTTCTTAAATTATTTGTTCAGCATGCAGACTGACTAGGCATGGAGAAAGGATACAACCTTGACACACAACTTTCCTATGTTTCATTGACTATGCAAAGGCATTTGAGTGTAAGAATCAAAACGAACTGTGACTAATCTTGAGAAGAATGGGAATTCCAGAACACTTAATTGTGCTCATGCGAAATCTATACTTGGACCTGGAAGCAGTCATCAGACAGAGGAAAGGAGACACTATGTGGTTCAAAATCATGAAAAGAGTGCCTCAAGAATGTGTCTTGTAAGCATAGCTTTTCTATTTATATGCAGAAGAGATCATTTGGGAGGGTGAACATTATGAGGAGGAATATGACTTCAGGATTTGAAGAAGACACAACTTTTCTTGCCAAAGCTGAGGAGAGCCTGAAGTGTTTTCTGCAGAAGGTAAAGTACTGGAGTTTCAATATGGATGGAAGCTCAACATCAAGAAGAAAAGAATTTTCACCTCTAGGCCAATTGACAGTAACATGATAAATGAAGAAGAGATTGAGAAAAATTTCACCTTGTTTGGCTCCACAATTAACATACTTGGCAAAAATAGTTAGAAAATCAAAAGATGAGCTGCATTAGGAAAATCTGATATCAAGGATTTTGCCAATGTTCTAAAAAACCATAATGTCATTCTAGAGACTACTGTGCACCTGATAAAAGCTACAGTCATCGCCATTACTTCCTATGTTTCAGAGAGCTGGACAATGACTTATGCAAATGACACAAGTTTTCTCGATAGATGAAGAATCAATGTGCTTGAGTTGTGGTGCGAGAGAAAAGTATTGAATAAACTATGGACTGCCAAGAGAACAAACAAGTCTTTCCTGGAGAAGGTAAAATAAAGCTGCTCCTGATAGGCAAGCATTTTGAAGCTCTGTCTCATATATTTGGGGTATGTTGTCAAAAAGAACCAGTCCTTGGAGAAGGACATCATGCATGGAAGGGTGGAAGGACAGTGTAGGAGTGAAAAACCCCTTAAGTCTTGACCTTATGTCTATCCCAACTGTCCTAATTAACTCAGTAACTAGGGTAATGGGGGTAGGTGTGTTAGAAACAGTGAGACTGGCTCAGAATAGGGCCAGGTTCAGAGCTATTGTATATACGTAGGTTCACTATGAGTCACAGGCAATTGATGACACGTAACAGCAGCAACATTATTCATATATACTCACCAACCACTAAAGTAAAGGATAAGGAAATTAAATCTTTTCTACAATCTTTTGAAGTGTGGAATTGATTGACTATGCAGTTCAGATGCATTAATAAAATTAGTGATTGAAATACAAAAGTTGAAATCAAAGAAGGGGGCCTAGTATTTGAAAAATATTGCCTTGGTAATAGAAATTAGGCCAGAAATTGATTGACAGAATTTTTGTACAGTCACTGATTTATTTGTTCATTAAAATCCCTTTAAAAACCATTAAAGGAAACTAACTGTATGCATTAATCTCACCTTACGAACTACACAGGCATCAGATTGACTACATCTGTGTGAAGAGTTGAGTCAATGAAAACACTCAATATCAGTGTTCCAAGCAAGGCTGGAAACAACACCAGTTGTTTTTGTTGTTGCTATAGGTCATTGAATTGAGTACAGCTCATTGTTGTTATTGTTGTTGTTGTTGTTGCTAGGCCATCCTTGAGTGTTTCTGAAACACTCAAGTCCATTGCTACACTCACTGTGTCAATCCACCTGGTTGAGGGTCTTCCTCTCCTTCACCATCCCTCCACCTTTCCAAGCATGATGTCCCCCTCCAAGGAATAACCTCGCCTAGCAACCTGCCCAGAGTGTGTGAGATGATGCTTCATCATCTTTGTATCCAAGAAGTACTCTGCCTACACCTTCCTTAAGATATATATGTTTGGTTTTTTGGCAGTCCGTGAGATATTCAGCATTCTTCTCCAACCCCACAGTTCAAAGGCATCAATTCTTCTGACATCTGCATTCATTGTAAATAGTGACCTATGAACTACAGACCTGAATCCGGTTCTATATTGTACCAATCCTCATCATCTCTGATTCACTTGGATCCACTGCTGCTGTCACTGTGTCAATCCATCTTGTTGGGGGTCTTAACTCCCTTTCGCTGGCCTTCCAACTCTCTAAGCATGATATCCTTTTCCAAGAAACAGTCTCTTCTAGTAATATGAGCAAATTCTTGTCAAAGCTGAAAAAAATTTAAACAATTCCATGAAAGCTGAAATATGAACTTAAGTCTATCCCAACTGCATTTCAAAAACTTCTCAGGAGGAGATTTGGTGCATTGAGCAAATGGTTTATTTGGTCACCATAAATTTTTAATCCTAAACACTAACATTTCCAATGCCACATTGTCTAATTCTTTACATTTTATATTCAATGAAATAAAAAAAAAATATTTTCTTGGTCCAAGTATAGGTGTCACATAGCACAATCAAGGGTTCTGAAATTTCCATTCTTATCAGAGTTAGCCACATTTTTATTGTTATCTACAATCAAATCCCATTGCATAGTCAGTGAAACAGATAGATATTCCTCTGGTATTCTCTGCTTTCAGCTAAGATCCATCTAACATTTGCTCTAATATCCTTATCACCATGGCCTCTTCTTAACCCAACCTGCACTTCTGGAAGTTCTCTGTTGATGCGCTGTTCCAGTCAGTTTTGGATACTTTTCAGCAGGATCTTGCTTACCTGTGGTATTAATTATATTGTTCAATAATTTCCACACTCTGTCAGGTCACCTGTTTTTGGAATGAGAACAAATATGGATCTCTACCAGTCAGTTGGCCATGTTGTTGTCCCTCTAAATTTCTTGGCATGACTTAGTGAGCGTGTCTAGAGCAGCATCTGTTGAAATGTGTCAACTGGTATGTTGTCAATTCCTAGGACTTTATTTTTCTGTCACATCCTTTAGAGCAATCGGTAATGTCTCCTTCATCATCAAAGGCTCTTGATAATATGCTGATTCATGAAATTCTTCTGTGTCAACCAATTCTTTTTGGTATAATAACTCTATTACTCTTTTCATCTCTTTTAATCTTAATTAACTTTTATTGACTTTTGGGTAAAAGTCTATAGAGAAAATTAATTTCCCATTCAAAAATTTATATATATTTTGCTACATGTCATTAATTGCAATGTGGCATCCAGTTCCTAAATAACATGCCTCCCGAAACTCTATGAACTTTGATAAATGTTAATAGTTGTAGAGGGGCTTCAGGCCTTTTGTTCATAGGGTCGCTATGAGTCATACTCAACTGGAAGGCAATCAACAACAACAACATAACAACAATGAACAGCTCTCTTCTCACTTCATCATTCAGTTTCCTGCTTTCTTTCATCTTTTTTTCTTATCTCTACTTGCTTTCAGGGTGATTCCTGAATAAATGTTGCCTTTTCTTAATATAAAATTTTTATTTTATGCTGGTTTACTTGCAGTTTGTATACATTGTTTTTTACACCAGATCTTACCCATTACCCTAATCCAATCCTTCCTCTCCTCATCAAATTGTGTGACCCTGTGATTACTCT